TGAAAAGATGCTCAACACCACTAATAACTAGGGAAATTCAAATCGAAACCACAATGATTTTGCCTTATTATGTTAACAGAGACAGCCAATAAATCTACCATTTGATTTGGGGGAAAAAAATTTTTAAAAACTTCAATGAGATACCATCTCACATCCATCACGATGCCTACTATAAAAAAAAAATAGCTGGCAAAGATTTGGCAAAATTGGAACACTTTTACACTATTGGTGGGAATGTAAAATGGACAAGCTACTATGGGAAACAGTATGGTAGTTCCTCAAAAAAATTAAAAATAGGGGGCAGCCGGATAGCTCAGTTGGTAAGAGTTCAAGCTCTGAACAATAGGGCTGCCGGTTCAATTCCCACATGGGCCAGTAAACTGCACCAGTAAGCTGTACCCTCTACAGCTAAGATTGTGAACAATGGCTTGACCTGAAACTGGGCTGCCGTGAGTGGCTGGCAGCCTGCAAGAGCTGCCGTGAGCCACCGTAAGCGGACGGATGGCGACCGACTGCCTCAGCCAGGTAGAGCACAGTGATCATAATACCAATAAGGGCCAGTGAGCGGCGTCCTCCACAACTAGACTGAGAAAACAGCTCAGAGGTGGGGGGGTGGGTATTAAAAATAGAATTACCATCTGATCCAGCAATTCCATTTCTGGGTATATACACAAAAGACTTGAAAGCAGAGTTGAAGAGATGTTTGTACACCACGTTCACAGCAGCATTATACAGCAGCCAAAAGGTGGAAGTAACCTGAATGTGCATCGATGGATGAATGGCTAAATAAAATGTGGTACATACACACAATGGAATATTATTCAGTCTTCAACAGGAAGAAAAATCAGATGCATGCTACAACATAGAAGAACTTTAAGTAAAATAAGCCAGTCACAAAAAGACAAATACTGTATGATTCCAATTACCTGAGGTACCTAAAGTAATCAAATTCAGACAGAAAAAAGTCAAGTGGAAGAATAGTGAATTGTTGTTTAATGTATATAGAGTTTCAGTTTTACAAGATGAAAAGAGTTATGGAGATTGGTTGCACAATGTGAATGTACCTAACTACTGAACTGTACACTTAAAAATAATTAAGATGGTAGATTTTGCATGTCTTTTACTACAATTTTAAAAATAAAAATTTTAAATGAACAAATGATCTGAATAGAGATTTCTCCAAGGAAGATATACAGACATACCTTGTATCATCAGACTTTGCTCTATTGCACTTCACAGATGTTGAATTTTTTTTTTTCAAATTGAAAGCACAATCTTCCATCAGCAAAAAGATTACGACTCACTTTATTACAATACTCTTTACTGTGGTGGTCCGGAACCGAACCAAAATATCTTCAAGGTATGCCTGTACAAATGGCTGATAAACACATGAAAAGATGCTCAATGACATTAGTAGTCAGAGAATGCAAAATAAAAACCACAGTGAGGGGTGACCGGTTAGCTCAGTTGGTTAGAGCATTGTGCTGATAACACCAAGTTTGCTGGTTTG